TCTTCTTCTCATAGCAGAAGCCTTGTTCCATCCAACGATTTTTCATAAATCTATACTGTTATTCAATAAAATGTGTTAAACTGAGTAATTTCATAATTGTAGTTTACATTATTTTCTCCTGATATCGAGATAAAATATTTTCAACTGATTTTTTAAATTGTACTAATTAGAAAAGAGATCATATTATTGTGCTTCTAACAATTCACCAACAAAGGAGAGATGAAATAGATGTGAAAAACAAGATCAAAATTTGTATTTGAAAGAAAATAAATTAGCAAATATGTGCCAGTTATTTGTATTTGTTTTTCATCACTTTTTTGTCTTTCGATAAATTCTACACATAATCTCATATGTTTAATAATAACAAATATTGCATTCCATTTTTATCAATCAACTTTACTTGATCATAGCAATTTTCGCTTACAGTGACTTAATTTTATTTTTTTAAGTGTCGCGAACTATTGCCAGTATCGCATGGTTTGTCAGCTCTCATTAGAAACTATGATTTTTTTCTCATTCAGAAGTTAGTTTTATCAGATTGTACTTCTTGTGTTTTCTTTTCGCGAGTACTTTTCCCTTTTCTTCTCACAGACTACTCATGTGCGGTCGTTACTTTTGGTTTTATAACGATTTTAGAAAAAAAATGTACAACTAATAGGATACATTCTTACAAATGGGAACTGCTGCAATCCCAAGTCGAAACTTCCCAAAGGATCCATAATAATTCGATATTATCCGACGGGATGCCAATAGTCGGAGACCAATGATATTCTTTAGTTTTCGACGTTTTTCATTAATAGGATACGTTGTTATCCAAACAGCTGGAAAACTATTGTCTCCGATAGTATCCAATAGTATTGCATGCAAGTTTATTAAAGTGGTGTAACGTCTGTCAGCTTTGTTCCAGTAGGTAAGATGAACGGATAACGCGAACAACAATTTGTATCATTTAACTTCTTTAGCATATTTTATGTATTTTTTTTTATGTAGATGAAAATTGGTCTAGATGATGCTCTTGAATTGACCAACCAAGAGAGTCAGCTTCATTTAAAATAGAAAAATCACGACAATTTCGTTTACATCATCAAGATTTTGAGTTAGTTTCTTCACAATCTACTTCATCGTCTTCATTTTTCTCATTTGAGATAAATCATTCACCTGTTTTTCTACCTTGCATTGATCCTGAGATTCCAAATGCTGATATTGATGCTCCAGAGGATAACGCTAATACTTCAGATACTGAAAGTGATGTGATTTATTATTATATTGGTGAAGATACTCCATTAATCGATAATATCAATATAATTGATGAAACATTCTGTACCGTATACAAATCTTCATTCAGATGAAAGAAACGAAACAAGTTTTTTAATTTTTTAAAGAGCATAAAAAATATCACGGTGAACAAGGAATGAAAACAAAACATTTATTTTTCTGAATAGATATCAATTGAAGAAAAAAGAGATTGTCTTTATGTTTGACTTCATGTGCCAACCTAAATAATATATACCTGTTAGCGGTGATTCACCCTCATTTCTGCCCCTTGATGTTTTTCCATCTCTCTCCCTTATCCTTCATTGTTGTTATTGTTGTCTCTCCTTCTTTTCTTCTCTCTTCTCTCTTTATTGTATTGCGTAATATATATATACGTGTTGTTAAGGACATTTTGATATACATTAAAATAAAATAAACATAAGCTCGTCGAAACGAGCTAACAATACCCATGTAGATACTATGATATATTACATAATATGAATAACCTCAGTTATAAATACCAGCTGATGCTTCAACAAATCGAGAACTTTGTATCCAGATTGCTAAGAATAAGTCTATCGAAGTCAATTTTTTAAAATACTCCCATTCATTATCACTTGAAAAAAGTCGTGTGGCAACACGTGTTGATGTCCAACAATAATAATCTCATTAATAATCGTAGCTTAAAAAGAGAATATATTTACTATAAAATATAAAAAGTAAATGAAAAAACGTACAAATCGTTAAGTTCTAAAATAAATTCATCAGATGATCGTTGTGAATGTTTGAGTTATCAAATTTTATAAGAAGCAGTTACTTCTGAAATTCACTATCAACAATAGTTTCTTCTGCTGATTAACCAGTCGCTACTGATGAGATTCCATCTAATTCTATTTTCTCATCGGGAATAGAAAACTTCCTCTTCTCTATTTTGACCACAGAGATCTCTCTATGGATAGCAGAAATCTTTAACTAATCATATTAAGATATTTTTTCGACAGAGATCTTACGAAAATCTGCATCATTGTTTTTTCGTTTTCATGAACGATTGATGAATGATATCTTTCTGCAATTTAATGAAATCGTCGCACTCGATTAATTTGATACGTACAGCAAGTAATATAAGAATATGGACAAAAGTCAGCGGCGGATTTAGGAGAGGAGCACTGGGGACGATCGCCCCTATCTCCAAAGATTTTTTATGTCGGCTTAAAAAAAAATATTTGGTAAAACAATTCAAATTTCATTATCTATATTACATATTTTCTTTTCGACTGGAATTTGGCGCATTAAAGCTGAGACACGATGCTATTAGTCTTGGTCAAGGTTTTATAGGTTGTAAATCACCAGAATATTTTTTAGGTTTTCATAAACAAATAATTAATGAACGTAATACAACTTTATATCAATGTACTAAAAGATTTATAAATTGGATTTGAATCAAGATTTTTGTTCAACTAATATTAACAAAATAGGGTCATCCACTATTAGTTCAAGCTATATCAAATATGTATTCATTATATTTTAATCGAAAACTTGATGCATTTAAAGAAACTTTTATTACTGACGGTTCTTATCCATCAATTTTCAATGCTATTCATGATTTTACTAAACGTTGGCAATGAAGTAAATATTAATTCATCATCTTTAAGAATTTTTTCTAAAACTGTCAAATCTTCGTAGCTTGTTTAAATCGAATGATTTTTTGATTATTATGAACCAATGGTTCGTTCAGCTGCTGGCATTGTTCGATCTATTCCCTTCAACCCACATTTTTATTTCAAATTCTTTCCACTTAACATCTTAATTTTTCTATAGAAATCGGAATCAAGTAATCAAGATATTTCCTTCCCAGTACTGATTGGATAATCGACAAAAATGTATTCGAATCAATGTTTAATTCTCGTACACATCTTATTATACTAAAAACACTAAATAATCCTCTTTAGAAAGTATGTGCCTACTTCATTTAAAAAAAATTATCAATCAAATGTTTTCAGATTTTTACACTTGAAGAACTTGAAGATATTGCAAGTTTATGTCAAATATATGATGTTATTTGTATTTCCGATGATGTTTATTGATGGATAACATCTGATAAAAAAAATAAAAAACATATTCGTATAGCAACATAACCGAAAATATGGCAGAGAACATTAACGATCGAAAGTGCGGAAAAACACTTTTATCAACAGGTTTAAAATTAGATTGGACAATTGAACGAAAACTTCTTATTCGTTCATGTCAATTGTTCATCAAGTAATTGAAAAAGGAAAAGAAAAGATTTAATGATGATATTTTCTATCATAGCATTGTGTTTTTAATGGAAATAGGAGTTGCTGTACTTAATATACAATTTGTCAACATGTATCTTTGACGAAATATGATTAACATCCTATTTATATCGATAAAAAAAACATTTGATTTGACCGTTCTTATTTATTGAAATAATGTTTTATTTATTTAGTAGTCTTCATTACAATGAAAAACATCTTCATATTTTAACCCAAAAATTTTTAATAAATTCATGATAAAATCATAAATATTTTCAATCAGTTTCACATGGATTTTTTCCATTTTCGTATATTCTTCTGTAATTGTCATTAAATTCATTATTTGCTCCATGGCACCTGGTAAATCAATGCCATCACATAGTGCAATATAGATTTTTTTTTTAATTTCCGAGAATTCTTGATTCATTTTATTGTCATATTCATTTAAAATGATATAAGGATTGATAAGTTTTAATGTTTTTGCCGTCTTAAGAGATTTACCAACGTCATGAATAAAACTCTTTATTGCACGATGATAAGTTGTAACATTGTCATTTTCATTATTCATGAGATTGAGCATGGATGACCACGGATTTAATAAACAATAAAGACGAAGATTATGATGTTTGTTTTTTGCAGTAAGTTCATCAGTTGTATTAAATACTGTTGCAATTTCATTTTGATCAGCAGCTAATCCACCAATTTCAATAACATATGTCATTGACGATACAATATTATTATTATTAAAAGCTTGTAATTGAGCAGTATCACCGTCATGACGAGCAGAGTTGAGATTACAACCACTTGTACAAATATCAAACACTGTACCTCAAAAATAAAAATAAAAGTTTCGATTGAAAAAGTTCATATCGAATATCAATTCGTACTTGACATAATATCAGTGAGACTTGTAAATGAACCAAAACTCGGGGGTAAAATATGTAAAGCCTCGAACAGCTTGTTAAACATATCTTGTGATAGTTTTCGATTTGTATCATTATATTTCATAATCGAATTAAAAGTTTTAGATAGTTTTGGAAAATCATAGCTGTTGTTAATTGATTCCTACAACAAAGAAAAAAGATTTTTTTTTCTTAATTTAATATTCTACTTTGCATAGAGGTGTAGAAGCTGCACTAGCTGCATCAATATCCATATTTGTTTTTGAATTTTTTTCATCAGTTAAATTGAAAATCTGAAAATAAAATATCAATGTGAAATATAAAAGATAAACAAGGATGAATTTACTTTTTCATCAACGTCATGTATATTCATGTAATAAACAACATCATAACCAAAATAATTCTTCATAACACGACGAAGAATATCCAAAGTGATATAATATCTGAAAATAAGAATAAAATATAAAACATAAAATACCAGTCATATTACCTGACAACATCCATATGGAATTTATCATAAAAACTTGGCCCACAACTGTACCATCGAACTTCGTTACCATTTATTGGTACAAACAATTCCTAAAAAATAATTGAATAGATTCAATAAATAAATAATTTTTTCGATTACCTTTTTCTTAGTTAAATTATTGTAAAGATGAAGTCGTGCTTCTGATGATCGTTCACGACATTGTAAATTTAAAGATGATAGTTGTTGTTGATGTTGATCGATTGGTGTTGAAGACATTTTAATCGATCGATTAATCAAATAAAATGTTTGATTTGAATCTAGAAGAGAAAACGAGAATAGAAAGATCGTGCAACTGTATGCTTGTCCGTCTGTTTATGTCATCATACATTACCCCGCTTATATATATTTCGATATCTAGGTCATTATAGCCATCCTTGGACAAAGAGAAAGTAGATACTATTATTTTTTCCTTGCGTTCTTTGCTGTGTCGCTGGATAAATGAATATATAGAATCTGAATATTCATCGAGGTCGTAGCAGACGTCAATAGAAATGAAAAAAAACTAGACGAATCAAAGTCCTTTATGGAATCCATCGTTTTCCAATAAAAGTCTGTCTCCAAGTACATCAGTGAAAGCATCCATGTAACTTTTTTCTACTTTGAAATCAATCAGCAATGTTGATGTCTTCTCTGTGATGATCCGATTGAAAATTCTACTTTGTTAAAAGATGAACCTAACGATATTTTGCACGTTATAGATTTTAATTAATAAATGTTTTAATCAAATAACTACAAATCTTTTATTTCTTGTATTGACATGAAAAAACTTATCATAAAAAATTATCTCGTTGAAATTATGGTGAGCATCATTTTGATGCTGTATCATATAAATCTTTTTCCGTAAAACTATAATTTCTTTGTTGCATCAAATCTTGAAATACTTCAGATTGACATCGAAAAAATTCACACGTCTGATATCAGTTTCCTACACTTTCTAATTGCTATGCATTATTATTAAACGTTGTCGATGGTGTGATTGATGATGATTCATCAGTTAGTCTTGTTTGTCCACCAATTGAAAAAAATCGAGATGTATCAAATGAATTTCAATCAGGTACAAATAATTCAATTATCGATTCATACAACTGGGAAATTAGTAAATACAAAAAACTTTTTTTCCTCAGAATTATTAATTCAAAATAGAAAATCTAACAAACCTGATCTTCATTTAAAACTAATATCACCACTTGTTTGTATTGAATTTAGTCCAAAAGATGCATAACAACTTCTTGGGGGGTTGTTATAATAGACAAGTTTGTGATTTGAAAAATTCAATTAATTAGATTAAATAGATCTTATTTCTAGAAGTCATTGTACGAGAATTACGAACGAGTTCAATATACGCTGCTCAATGGCTTTCACCGATTTCGATTTTAATTGCAGCAATAGATAGTGCTACTAAAGTTATGTATATGGTATTATTTTCAACGTTCAACACCCTTTCCATTGCTGAGAAATAAAGATCTCATTTCGACCATCTCAGCGCTCGCAATCACAGTGCATATTATTTTTCAAAACAGTCCCGTTATTCAAACATGCAACGTTTCCAATTACGAAATTTGGTGGGTATATAGGGTGATATATGTTCTACATATCTGTGATCCTAGAATTGTCTTTCATTGTTCAATGGTTCCATGGCAAGCTATTTTGCTGTCAAAAAACGCCTCTTTTTTCGAAAACTAGTTTCTTTCATCTGTATGCAAGTGAATTTAATATATATCTTTATGAGCTAGTAGTACTAACGTTAGTTTATCATAATACACCTTCAATGATTTTGGCAAACATTCTTGGCCTTAGCAGGGATCCACACAAGTATGTCTTTTGTTTGATATATTCACATACAGTTATTTCAACAGGATATCAACCATTTCCACAAAATACATCTCCTCCTCTAATGATATGTGCAGGAGTTTTAGAGCTTTGAATTCTAAGCATTTTGATTTTAAAAAGTGTTTGAAAAGCTTCTATGTTGTATGAAATATAGCCAAAATACTTAAAGCAGTAAACATCAAATATTTAAAAAAACAGTTTTTTCACATTATTTTCTCCATTCCTGTTTCAAATTCAGATAAAACCGAAGCTGAATTTTATGTATGTTACACAGCTCTTTATTCTTTACCAAGTGATTCAGTCCTGCCTGTGGACCCCACCGGAGAAGGTCGAATCCGACATCGGATTACTTCGGAAGCAGCGCTTTTTTCTAGAGGGTGTGGGCCTAGATCTAGCAAACACCCGGACTCACACACCACATTGACACTCCACACCCACACCAAACTATCACAAATGTGTTATTATTTTTGGGAAAATATGAACACGAAGAATGAAAATCGTAAAGTACGAGTGCATTTTGGCATGTAATTGAAGAAATTTCAATAGTTTCATAGGTAATAATTGCTCTAATTATATTGATAAGTCCAGTTTTTGATGAGCATTAATTTGGTTTAATATGCTTTGTGATATCATTTATACTTTGATTGATTTTGTTGAAAATTTCCAAGCAAAGAGACACTTACTCATAGACAGAGAATGAATTACAAGCAGTGGCTCACAAAGAAATAATTTTGAAAGAGTGTGCATGTTTTTCTTTTTGAATTCATACCCATTACTGGCGCACACTCAGTAATCCCGCCACTTTGATGGAAGTAAATTATCTCACATGAAGCTTTTATCGAATCAATCAATATTTTCTGTCTTTGAGGGTTAATATGAAACATCAAATTATTGTAACTATTTTTTCTCCTCCATGTGTACCGTCGAAAAAGGAAAGAAACCAACAAACATTGAAAGTAGAAGGCCAATGCTTGTAAAACTGTAACATACTCGTTGAATCAATGGCGTAGCCAGGAGTACGGCCATTGGGCAATTGCCCGCTAATTCAAAAGTAATTGCCCATGGGTTTTTTGAAACGATACTAAT